ATCGAAAGTGCAAAATTGTGTACTTCGGTTTACTTCCCAAGAAAAGAAGCAGCCGGGATACCGAACCCAGTCAGAGCGGGTGGGTGTGCACTCAAGTGTAATGGCTGGTTCATTTGCAGATGCCTTCACGGCTAATTGTGTGTATATATAGAGAGAGATGTTGGGTTTTGTAAATACTTGCTCATTTTTTGTGTATAACATTTTGCAATCAACAGACATCATAACATGTCATGTGTTCAAGTATCATTCCTGCCTGTCTGTGTAATTACATAATGTGACAGATACCGAACTCGGGCCATAAATCAATGCGTTTTGTTTATGGTGTACATTATGGTGACATTGAGTTTTGTCTGTGACAACGACATATCTATATCACAGTTAGAAATTGTGTCAACGCTAAATAATGACATTGCTTTTAAGTATCGAACTGAGAAAGTGACTCGGTAAGAAGAACGTGTGGTGAAATAGACAAATGAAATTATATAAACAGTTAATTTACTGTCATAACATATAAAAAGCTCGCGCCTGTGAGATATCAACAAAACATTAGAAAAATAGCTCACACCAAAGCCTTCACCGAATATTCACCCGACAACCCGCTTCCAAGCTGCGCGAACCTATTTACTTGCGCACGTGCTATGAGTGCAGCCCAGCAGTTGAAACCCGTTTTCCCCAGAAAAGTCAGGGGAAATTAGTGAAACGTTTGAACTCCGATTTCGCGCGTTTTTTTTCATCGCGTTATTTTTCAACTTTATAAGTTGAATTTGCATTTTTGACGATTTGTTTCGGTATGTTCCATACCGAAAGGTATCAGAATCTGCAAAGTTGTGTTTTACGTTGCATGTGACCTTTAAGAATTCGCCAATTTTCATCTTTTCATCAACTCATGACAAAACTCTTTTCAGTGTTACGAATTTGTTTTACAATACAGCAGATATTGTGTAAACACTACCTTTAAACAGTATGGACTATTTTGCAAAATTTAGTTTGGAACAGTTGACTGAAGTTATAGGTGGCTACATAACCACTAGTGAGTCTAAACGTCTGATGGGTAGTATAGCTTGTTGAGATCAACGTCAATGACAGACAATAACAAAACGTGGTTATCCAACGAGACAAATGCAAAATAGCAGTGCAAATTATATGAGTCGGTGAGTGAGTTTAGTTCTACGCCGCTTTTAGCAATATTCCAGCAATATCAAGACGAAGGACACCAGCGGGGCTTCACATATTGTACCCATGTGACGAATCGAACCTGGTTCTTCGGTGTGACGAGCGAACGGTTTAACCAGTAGGTTATCCCACCGCATCGACAACTACATGAACAGATCACTGAAAATCCATGCTGACACCCGGTGTTTGAGAAAAGGGTTCATTCCTTGCAAAACTCGCCACTCACAAAGTTGGCAACAAAGAATAACACATGTTGTAGTTGGGATTCCACTTTTTTAGCAAAGTACAGATTCTAGTTGTTTTATTGGGTTGATTCCTATCTGGGGTTCGAACCCACACCCTCAGAGTCAGGCACCTGATTCCCAGTGGAAGCTGAGGGGGCTGAGTATGTTAGATGGCCGATTTAGTGTGCTGGCGACAAGGTGCTTGACTCTGTGGGTGCGGGTTCAAAGCCAGAATGGGACGCAACCCAACATGAGTACTAGAATCTGTACTTTAATGAGAAAGTGTAATCTCAAATATTGCAAGTGTTACATCTGACAACTTTCTAAAAATGGCTTTGTATATTCGCATTAACAAAAACTGTGGTTTGTTGCCTGACACCTGTCCTCAGACATCCATTACCTCGAACGTATTTACTAACTGTTAAATTAAAAGCAACATTGTGGTTTTTAAATTGGTCTTCTGTGTGTAAGTACAGTGAATCTGCTGCTTAGAAACACAGAAAAATACCTTGAAGAAATATTCATTTTGCAGCACAGTGGGGAGTAGTTTTAATATCTCGACCAAACCTTTCTTTTGACGTTTACTCAAATGATCAATGTCGCTGGGGTACTTGGGGTCATACATAAGCTTGAATAGCGCTCTTTGTCGGTCGTCATATGATACTATAAACAAAGTTCTGTAGGTCTTTTGGCATGCACAATACACTGTGAGCAGATATATGACGTTTGACAAGCGTGTTAGCCTGTCGGACTAGATATATCTCAGTCTACATGTCACATTCTATAGGCGTAGTAATGTACACTGGTAGAGTAGTGATACATTTAGGACGTAGTAAAATACATATGAGATGTACTAATATACACAACACGCAGTACTACCTATAGGATGAGTAATACACATATGACATACTTATACACATGTGACTCAGTAATACATATAGGACTCAGTAATACATATAGGACTCAGTAATACACATAGGACTCAGTAATACATATAGAAGTCAGTAATACACATAGGACTCAGTAATACACATATGACATACTTATACACATGTGACTCAGTAATACATATAGGACTCAGTAATACACATATGACTCAGTAATACATATAGGACTCAGTAATACACATATGACTCAGTAATACATATAGAAGTCAGTAATACACATAGGACTCAGTAATACACATATGACTCAGTAATACATATAGTACTCAGTAATACACATATGACTCAGTAATACACATAGCACTCAGTAATACACATGTGACTCAGTAATACATATAGGACTCAGTAATACACATAGGACTCAGTAATACATATAGGACTCTGTAATACACATAGGACTCAGTAATACATATAGGACTCAGTAATACATATAGGACTCAGTAATACACATATGACTCAGTAATACATATAGAACTCAGTAATACATATAGGACTCAGTAATACACATATGACTCAGTAATACATATAGAACTCAGTAATACACATAGGACTCTGTAATACACATGTGACTCAGTAATACATATAGTACTCAGTAATACACATGTGACTCAGTAATACATATAGGACTCAGTAATACACATATGACTCAGTAATACATATAGGACTCAGTAATACACATATGACTCAGTAATACATATAGTACTCAGTAATACACATATGACTCAGTAATACATATAGGACTCAGTAATACACATGTGACTCAGTAATACACATATGACTCAGTAATACACATGTGACTCAGTAATACATATAGGACTCTGTAATACATATAGGACACAGTAAAACATATAGGACTCAGTAATACATATAGGACTCAGTAATACACATAGGACTCAGTGATACACATGTGACTCAGTAATACATATAGTACTCAGTAATACACATGTGACTCAGTAATACACATGTGACTCAGTAATACATATAGAACTCAGTAATACACATGTGACTCAGTAATACACATATGACACAGTAATACATATAGGACTCAGTAATACACATATGACTCAGTAATACACATATGACTCAGTAATACACATATGACTCAGTAATACACATATGACTCAGTAATACATATAGGACTCAGTAATACATATAGGACTCAGTAATACATATAGGACTCAGTAATACGTAAAGGACTCAGTAATACACATAGGACTCAGTTATACACATAGGACTCAGTAATACAGATAGGACTCAGTAATACACATAGAACTCAGTAATACACATAGGACTCAGTAATACACATAGGACTCAGTAATACAGATAGGACTCAGTAATACATGTAGGACTCAGTAATACACATAGGACTCAGTAATACACATAGAACTCAGTAATACACATAGGACTCAGTAATACACATAGGACTCAGTAATACAGATAGGACTCAGTAATACAGATAGGACTCAGTAATACGTTAAGGAATCAGTAATACGTAAAGGACTCAGTTATACGTATAAGACTCAGTTATACGTATAGGACTCAGTAATACACATATGACTCAGTAATACACATAGGACTCAGTAATACATATAGGACTCAGTATATACATATGACTCAGTAATAGACATAGGACTCAGTAATACATATATGACTCAGTAATACATATAGGACTCAGTAATACGTTTAGGAATCAGTAATACGTAAAGGACTCAGTTATACGTATAAGACTCAGTTATACGTATAGGACTCAGTAATACACATATGACTCAGTAATACACATATGACTCAGTAATACATATAGGACTCAGTAATACGTTTAGGAATCAGTAATACGTAAAGGACTCAGTTATACGTATAAGACTCAGTAATACATATAGGACTCAGTAATACATATAGGACTCAGTAATACATATAGGACTCAATAATACACATATGACACAGTAATACACATATGACTCAGTAATACATCTATTATGAGTAATGCACATATGAGACAGTAATACATATAGGATGAGTAATATACATATGACTCAGTAATACACATGTGACTCATACAGGACATAGTGATAGTAAAACCCAAATTACATAGCAGTACACACATGACGTAGAAATACACATAACACATACTAACACACATATGAAAAAAACTGTTCAAAATACAAAGTAACACACACACGACAAAGTAACACACGTGGAAACATTCAAAATACTCAAAATACCAACAGTCAAACTTGATCATGGTAATGTCATTTCATAAATGACTCTTGGGGAAGCATTTTACTTTGTTGTCTAAAATAGACTTTGGGTTTTCTATGAAGTAAAGGAAGGAAATAACTCATCGGAAAAAATTCCATGGACAAATCACAGGTTTACCAGCAACGTATCTAACAGATACGGTAGTCTGTAGTCTAAACTGTCAATTCCGCGAAAATTGCACCACGCGAAAATAAGTACGTTTACAGTATTTATATATTGGTGATCAATGGATGTGAATCAACTGTAACCAGTGTTACGTTATGATGAATATACATCAAATGTGTCCACGTGACCAATCTGATTGTACAGTTGTGGAGTAAATTTTAACATGTTGAAGAGAAATATTCATTTTGTCGGCAACTCCATTCTCTAAACGCCTTGAAAGATTAACAGGGGAATGACGTGAACGTCTGATCAGCCCATAGCCAGTGTTACCCTGATCCAGTCTTGAATAGTTCCTGGTTGGCATGGCGTAGCTGGGATATTGCTCACAGCCAACGCCGAGCTGACACTCTCAACATGTCAGGCTTAGGTTACAATCAATAGTTAAAGTAGGCCAGTTACACGCAGTGCATACTGTCCTGGTGATAACAGCGAGCATTACCTGGAGTCATTTAGCAAAGGTAGGCTTAATAAGCTGTGGGTGTAACAGCACATGTAGTTCTACTGCAGTGTAAGATGCACCTGGAAGGTCATCGAAGGGACATTAGTATTTGTGGTAAGGTATAAAGGTAACTGCATAATCAGTAAAGGTGATACCAGGTTGTAATATGAATACCAGGAGACATTGTAGTGTTATAAAGCTGCATGCATGTTGAACATTCACATCTATGATTTTTTCCCAGGTTATATCTGGTTTTGGTGCTGAGGAACAGGGCTGAGATGAACACGTTTCATCATCTCACAATATAAATGGCCTCAGAATGACATCTGGTGAGTGAAATCTTTCGTTTCATTTTAAGATTACTTTTTGAATATCTGACTCGAAACGTAACATTATGACATATTAATACGTTTCGTAAGATGTTTCAGCATATCAACATAACATGGTTCAAAACGTCATTATCGCATACGATACAAATGAATAATTTTCTAAAATAAAGACCAACGTGTTTTAAAGTGTTATATAGACCTGCATGTTATGTACACGCTATCTTATTGATTTTGATAGAGTGTGTCCTTTGCGCAAGTTACTCTTCATCAAAAGAGCTTCGTTTGAAGGAAAAGCTTCGTTTGACCATCGACATACCTCTTGAGCTAGTGAGCAAGCGTAAGCAGGGAAGAGATAGAAAGACGTTCAAATGTGACAGAAGTGACGTCACGTGTAAGTTTTTGAAACAGGTGTCAGCTCTTCGTAATTCTGGTGGTGGAGCGTTGTTTGTCCATATTGAAGGCCTTGATTCCGGTGACAGGAACCTGCACTACTTCCACGAACTGTTTGACAAACCTCTTAATGATCTCGTGGATGAAGGAGACCTGTTCATCGATACATTTACATTTCTCTGGCTGAAGGACTTAGAAACGGTTGGGGAAAAGTCACATGAATTCCTCATCATAGTGGTACGGGCATCGTCCAGACTCTCTACACCAGATTTCAAGACTAAAGTTTCAACAGATCATGAAATAACACAACCGTCTGGAAGAACGCTGTATGAACTCCTTCTGAAGACGAGGGACATCGGTAAAAAGGACACTGTTCACAAGATAGACCTTCTGACTGGTGAGGGTCGATCTGTCCAGGTCAAATACGTAAAGAGTGAATTCGAGAAAATAGATAAAAACAACTTCAAAGACTTCGTAACTTACATATGGGGCGGTCTACGGTTAATGGAGTACGTCACTGCATTGTCTAAAAATCTAAATGGCGGGTCGTACTTCGTTGGCATTGAAGAAAGTGATAGACCCTTCCCAAACTACGTGAGTAAAGCTGTTCAAAAGACAGGTATCCAAATCCTGTCTGGGTGCAAACCGCTTATCCAACGTGAACTGGATGCAAAAGTAACTGACTGCATTAAACTTGATCCAGACACGGACACACCGTTGATTAAATGTAACTTTCACAGACTACTTGATGACAACATGTACGTTATTGAAGTGGCTGTGAAACCAATCTCTGGATGTGTATTTTATGACAGAAACGGACCAGAGGCGTATGAACTGAAAAATCAAAGTGTTGAAAGAATACCATTCCCTGTGTGGCGTACGAAGTTTATGAACATACAGAAAGCATCTTCTCGTGACACTCCGTCTTCAAACTGTTGAAAGAATACCATTTCCTGTGTGGCGTACGAAGTTTTTGGGCATACAGTAGGCATCTTTTCTTGACACCCCGTCTTCCAACTCGAAGTGAGTTCTTCAAACAGTGTCAGCACTTGGTAATTCTGGTGTGGACCATTGTTTGTCCATATCAGAGGCCTTGATTCCGGTGACAGTGACCTGCACTACTTCCATGAACTGTTTGACAAACCTCTTAATGATCACGTGGATGAAGGAGACCTGTTCATTGATACATTTACATATCGTTGGCAAAAATACTTAGAAACGGTTAGGGATAAATCACATGAATTTCTCATCATAGTGGTACGTGCATCGTCAAGAATACCATTTCCTATGTGACATTCAAAGTTTGTGAACAGACTGTCTACTGTTGTTATTCCGTCCTCCAACTCAAAGTAAAAGGTGATATCTCACTTTCTGAGACCGGTCACTATATTAACGATCCTCTCGGATTACATCCAGTCACGGGTGCAGGTAATTATACTTCAATGACGTCTTTGTGTGTGGTTACACAGATAGTTGTGTACTCTAATTACAATTAAGAATTTTAATCCTCAATTATCTGTTTGGTGTGTCGGTTGGTTTGTTGTCGCCGCCCTCACCAATATTCCAGCTATATGGTGGCGGTCTGTTTGGACCAGACAATCCAGTGATCAACAGCATGGGAATTGATCTACGCAATTGGGATACGATGACATGTGTCAACCAAGTCAGCGAGCTTGACCACCAGATCCCGTGAGTTGCTTTTAACGACAAGCATGGGTTGCTAAAGACCAATTCTAACCCGGATCTTCACGGGTACTCTGTTCCTGAACTATCATATAAATGTTACATAGTTACATTGAACAGCCTGGTGTATTCAAATCTCAGCGAGGCAACGGATATGTTCAACCGGGTTACTGCTTGTGTCATGTTACTCCTAATGTTCAAAGCTACAGTGGGTAGCGTCAGTTTTGAAAAGTCCCCACACAACAAATACCTGAATTGAAATCTAATAGCTTAGATAACGTACGTAGTTCCGACTTGTGAGTCATCGTGTTACACACCCTCGCGTGTCAATCCTAAATTTGCCTTTGTGAATATGTACTGAACCGAGATGAGCCTTACCCTAAAAACACCTTAGGCATTACAATAACTGCTGCAATCTGGTTTGAAAGGAATATACATGTACATGAAGCTCACGAGCGATAGCAGAGGATTTGTATGTGAAGATGAGATTCCCGACAGGCGACTGTAAGTAGAAAAATCCGACCTAAATTTCCGTATGCTTAACTTGGAACCTAAATTTCCGTATGTTTGAACTTCTGAACCAGATTTGAATTAGCTCTTTGTTTGTTCGACAGTTATATAATTTTATTCAAATTTTAAAATATATCCCCTAGGTTAGTTTGTTGGACCTGTGGGAGAGAGAGAGAGAGAGAGAGAGAGAGAGAGAGAGAGAGAGAGAGAGAGAGAGAGAGAGAGAGAGAGAGAGAGAGAGAGAGAGAGAGAGAGAGAGAGAGAGAGAGAGAGAGAGAGAGAGAGAGAGAGAGAGAGAGAGAGAGAGAGAGAGAGAGAGCATTACATGCCATATATCACAAGACCATCACACCTTTGACTGTAAGTAGAAAAATCCGAAAAATCCGACCTAAATTTCCGTATGCTTATCTTGGAACCTGTGTTTTAACATCTAGTTTCTGTTTGAACCTCTTTCTGGGCACAGATTTAAATAAGCTCTTTGTTTGTTCGACAGTTATATAATTTTATTCAAATTTTAAAACATTTGTCCTAGTTTAGTTTGTTGGACCTGTGGGGGAGAGAAAGAGAGTACATTACATGCCATATATCACAAGACCATCACACATTTGAAATGCATTACGATGAAGTAATGTTTTAGAGCCGTCTGTGCATGCGAGCGTGTGTCTATGAATGTTATGTATGTGTCTACATACATTAAATTTCAGCTGACGCCAATCTGATGTGACAATGATCGGCTTTGTGCTCCCTTTTCTTTTCTACCTCCTGTTGGAGTGGATTCAGAGGAGAAAACGTGGTAAGTATAACATCACGCAACACAACACGGCATCACACAAAATCTTACAGTATCACACAACAACACACGGCACCAAAACAACATCACACAACATCTTACATCACACATCGCACAGCATCAGAGGAACACACAGCAAGATATCACACGGCACCATATCACAGCATCACATAGAACACAGCGGGCGAGGTAGCCTAGTGGTTAAAGCCTTTGCTCGTTACGCCGAAGACCCGGGTTCGATTCCCCACATGGGTACAATGTGTGAAGCCCATTTCTGGTGTCCCTTGCCTTGATATTGCCGGAATATTGCTAAAAGCGGCGTAAAACCATACCCACTCACTCACTCACTATGTTTCGCTGAACTACGAATGTAGACAAAAAGATACAGTTTAACACAAATATTTAAGCATAATATTTCCCTTACCTGTAGAAGGGACAGAGTGTAGCTATGAAAATACACCCCAAACAAAATAAGGAAGTCGTTCAAGAACTTTTCTTCTTGACAAGTTGTATGAGTGGCATTTCAGAAGTTGGGACGTAAAATATCGATCTAACTTTATGGAAAATAACGTATTTATTGACAACGACACAAGCATCCGTATCGAAACGTGGCACTCGCGAAATAAGAGAAGTTGACTGAACGTTATCCATAAAGTTATTTAATTTGTATTTGTCAGTAGATGAAGAGTATAAACAACGGCCATTTTCGCTAATATTTCCGCGTTTGTTTTGTGTGACATTCCTGAAGATATTTAAGAGCTTGTATATATATACTCAAGGTATTTCATGCAATTGTTCGTGAACAATGTAGTACAATTTACCTCTCATTTCCAGCTCAACAGAGACGGGAGATACACGAGGTGACCAATCTTCCAAGTTCCTTTCCCTTTCCCCCTAAACTGAAACAGATTGGATTTGCGTTTGAAGAACTTGAAGCACAAATTATTCAGAAAGGTGAATATGGTTTTAATTGCCTTTAATGTTCATAGATCAGATAAATTCCTTGAAATACATAATTATGTAGCACAGAATCAATTGCTGAAGCATTTGCAGTCAGCTGATGTGACTTGACTTAATGCACTCACTGCTTATTTACACTGAATGCATCTAGGAACAACAGATGTATGCATATTGATGTGGTTATTGATTTTGTCCGCTTACGTTATATTATATCCTTGAATTTTTTTAGTCATTGCAGCAATGTACAATGGGTGTGTATTTCCGATTTATGGGCGAGTGATTGAAACGGGATGGAGTGTAGTCGAGAATCAATTGCTTGACAGCCTGGGTGCAGTGTTAGAGTGCAATCAAAACACTCTTGCGCAAATTAAGTGATTGGATTATCGGTTGAGTTGGGCATACTTGCCTTTTGTGCGAATACCTGACATCGTCGGTGGGTTTCAGCGGTCTATCCATATTACTGATTCACCTGATGTGATTATGACACATGGAATCTGCTCGATTCTGCGATTGATTTTCTCGCGTCGAGTTCATGTATTTACGTAAGATTATTTGAATTATATTACAACGCTACAGATTGATAATTTAGCAGAAGATCTACACGGGTATCGTGATAGAAAACCTAGAAACACAATCGGGGCGGATCTTAGATTCGAACCCACGACGGTTGCATCCGGAACTCACACGGAAAGCCACTCTGAACAATGAGTTGTGTCGTCTTGCAATCGAGCAAGCTCTTTCACCAAGATTTCAAAGAGAGTCTTACCACTCTTGCTCGAAAGTTGTTCTATCGCGGTTACAGTGAGTGAGTGAATATGGTTTTAAGCCACCTTTAGGAATATTCCAGCAATTGGGGACAATGTCCCTCCACACATTGTGCCCATATGGGGAATCGAACCCGGGTCTTCCGCGTGACGAGCGAACGCTTTAACCATTAGGCTACCCCACCGCCCGATCACGGTTACAGCATTCAAAGGTTTCAAGAAGTTTTATGGTAGACATGTGGAGGACATTTCGAAACTTGATGCATAAGTGACCAAAAATGATGTCCTACGCAATTCCCTCTTTTTACTTGTACCATATGCTCACATTTTGGCGAGCACCTTGTATCATCACTATTTCATAGTTTTTCATTAACACATGCTCTGTCATCGTATCGCATGGTCACAATCACTGGATTGTCTGGTCCAGACTTGTTTTCTTTACAAACAATACCGTAGAGCTGTAATTCTGCTGAAACAAATGATATGATACGGTCACAATTGTACAACTGACTCTGCTTTTAGCGGATATTTCTTATGGATGTGGAAAGGGTTTTCTATTGGACAACTCATCCATCCAGGCCCTCCATAGTGGGTGTGAGGATGACGAGCGTTGCGAAATCCATTAATGCCTGGGTATTAATACAACCGTGTTCTGCTTTAATTTCAGATCGCATCGTGGTCCTTCCAGATAATGAAACAATTACGTCTGGCATCAAACAATGTTTGTACAAAAGGATAGAAGTTGTGTCAAAGGAGGGCATTGTTTTGGTCAGCAAGTCCTTGGCAGCTATGATGGACGTCGACAGACCTTCCTGTCCACATCCAGATGGCATCTTGTGGGATGTGTTTATAGTTACCACTGGGAGACCACCCATTATCCTATGCTTGGTAAATAAGCCGAGCGCAGTTTCTTATAAGGACATCAGCCGTTATGCCTTGCAGCTAACACAAAATGTTACTCACAAAATTCGTCTATTCACGGACGAACACGTGAGTGTTATTGATGGTGTCCTCGACATTAACGCTCTGAAGAATGATCAACTATTCCAGAAAGCGGTTGAGGAAATTATCAAAGATGGTTCCAGGTATTGCAATCTGCATTCTCTGGTTATGGGTGAGAAGAAGTGTTTGAAACTGCAACGAGCAACACTTGTGTGTATGGCAGTGACAGAGTTGGACGTCGGGCAGTTTCTTCAGGGAAAAATCACAGACCGACAGACGGACAAAGAGCTTTGGATTCTACCAAGAAGGCACTTCAACGAACTTAATCGGTACTTAAACAAACACGAATGTGTCACAACAGACCTTGATGACAATGACCGAAGGCTGCTTCTTGCCGAAATTGCCAGACGGTGGGAAAAGATTCATCCAACCCTTCTCTGTGTTGATAAGTCTTGGGCGGACTCCGAAAGGTACTGTATATATTTGTCCTTGCCTGTGTAAATCTAATCCGAATCATTGTCTAGTTTCCCTATATATCTGTACTATTTATCGTCAACAGCACCCAAACCGTTGCCTCACAAGTCATCAACAACGAAGACATTGATGCTGTACAATTAAAAGAAGGCATTCGACAGGTGGTAGCTGAGAACATTTCTGAAAGAAATATCAGACTTCTTGAGGCAAAGCTTAACACGATCAAGAGGCACATCGTAATAAATCCTTTACAAGGTAAGATTAAACCATTTAACCACCTTATTGTCAAATGTGCGGCCCAGTTTGAAAGAAATTCATCCAGTTTGAAAGAAATTTCATCTTGTTTACTCAAATGATTAAGCTTGAGAAAATCCATTACCAAGGATAAAACAATTATTGCAAACGTCAATCATATGTTTACTCATTTGGCAGACTTTCCAGAAAGAACAAATGTAGAGAAACCAAAACTACCACGCCTTCACAGGAAAAATAATTTGGTGCGAAATAGCCATTGTACCACGCTAGATTGGTTAATCCCCACAGTCACTGGCCCGACTAGCTAGTGAATTTTTGTGGGGTCATTTCGTAAATATATCACCCTCTCCGACTTGTTATAAGTTATTTAATCATAAGCAATATAATTCAGGAATTTTGACAAGTGTTTTCTTATTTGTTTTTGATGGTATGTTACCTTTTGCTTGGTTTCCTCGTTCAAATTTAGGGCTAGTGAATTTTATTGTGGGCTAGTAACTTTCAGGCATAGCTAGCCCGACAGACTAGTAGCAAAATTTGGAAACTATTTTGCACACTGCCATGAGGGCGTGTGTATGGAGAAGCAATTACCGTGCAAGCTCATCAGTGTTAATCGTGTATTTCATATTCAGTGTAATTCTGGCATTTCAGTTCACCCCGAAGTCACCGTATTCTATATGAGTGGGCAAGACTGGACACCTAACCTACTGGACAGGTTCAGCTCGAAATTCTTAGACATGACTTCATATCTCTCAAAAGAGGTAAGTTGACAATACAATCAATAGATAAAATGTTTCGTGAACAGATAATCAGTGTTGAAAATGAATTTCTGCTCTGATCAGCAAAGTCATGAGAAAGTAATTTGTCCATGAAGTTTAGCAGAAGCAGCAGATATGCCAATAATCTAATATTGTTCAATATTCATCAACTGACCAATTCACATCCACTTTTACCAGCTTGAACAAGAATTTTAAATTTGGATTGAATTTTCCAATAGTCAAATGCCCCTTACTGTCAAGCAATATTCAATTTTGGCGTCTACATTTTGAGGGACAAACCAGCATTCTGTTTTTACATCCCTGAGCGTCGTGCGGCTCTAGCGCAGAAGCTCATTGATATGAAATAACCATTCAAGACTTCGGTTCAGCTTTCAAAAACTTTATGATAGATATGCGTAGGATATTTCCAAACTTTCCGAAAGAGTGACAAAAATGATGTCCGATGGAACTTCTCTGCAGCAAATGTTCCCGTTATTTGTCAGGTCACACACACGCACGCACGCACACACACAAACATCTAAACACATGATTACATATACCTCTATACACACACATACACACATTCACACTTCTACACGCACGCACGCGCACAGACAATTTCAATGTGATCTGATTCTGTTATTCGTGTTGTAAGTAACGTCCTTCTATTCAGATCGAGAAAGTGTTACGCGGGGACAACAAACTGGGACAAGTATACAAAGAATGTAGGATAGAGTATTTCAGGTAAGGATCTTTCTTTGTGTACAACGTATCATATTATAGGTGTCTGTGAAGAGTATTCATACTGTGCCTGTGTACAGGTTACGGTTGAGTAAACATGTGAGGAGGAAATATTTAAACAAGTGAAGTGTATTCTTATTTAAGGTAACATAGCTTGAAGGGAAGACAGTTCTTTCCAACTTATGAGAAATGTAGGATTGAAAAGTGACCTCCATTGCACAGCATGAGTCATCGTGTTTAGTAGATATTTTTCTTATGGTTATTGAAAGGTTTATTGGTGTATGTATACTAGCCACATAAAGAAACTGTGCACACAGAAAATTCCTTCAGAATTGGAATACAACACAGGGAAGACGAAATGATGTAGACACTTTAGAAGCTGAAGTATCGGACCACAACAAAATGTCAAAAGAACATGAACAATATTCGTAACGGTGACGTCAGAAGATCTAAATCGAGTACGGCGTCACATGACGAAGTCACAAAGTCAAGAACGGGTATGATCATCATGTGCGTGAAGCACAGCAGTGCATCGACAACGCACAGAGGCTACCAAATGAGCATTGAAGGCCTGGGGAATGGTCTTGGACGTGGTCACTGCCACCTGGAACCTGTGTCTGAGATGAGTCACTCGAATCCATCAGTCCTGTCTTGGCGTCGTTACGTCGGGGATGCCCAGAACGTGGGTGGTTGGCGACGTCATTCGTGTTTCGATAACGTCTGGTCAATGCAGATATCGTGTTACGATGGCATTGGAAATGTGCTGCCACCCGTTGTTGGCTCATTCCTGCTCGAACCATTCCAATGGCTTCATGATGTTAAGCAGATGTTAATCTTGGCATGATGTGCATGTGACTTCTCATATGAATTTGTGAACGTTTGAATGACCAAATATCAAGCGTTTAACAGTGACAGCAATTTCTGAGTTTCACATATTGTGTGCAGCTGCACGGGCTGCACGTGCAGAAACACATTGCAAGTCCATAGGCCACCATCAATGACGTCACGTTGCCTTGCACGTGCATGAGCGGTTGATTGTCTCCAATACTTGCTATGTTTACACTTGTATTTATGTACAAAGACGCTGTGTGCCTACATCTATATTTTCTGTGTGCACAATTTCTTTATGTGGCCAGTATATAATGGTTCGATAGGAGCTGAGTACAAGATTCCACGTCTTGTTGGAACAGTCGCCTTAGTTTTTCTTGATATAGACATATAGAGGGAGGGTGGGCTGGAGGGGGGAGATATGAGGTGAAAGCTTTGAAGAGTGTATCCTTTGGGCCAACAAAACATATTACAGTTCGAATCCTGGTATGGTTCTTGGTTTGTCAGCACCTGACACATGGGCTGTGGGTTTCACCTAATAGTTACAAGATCCAGACGTCGCTTTGGGATTTCCCCCACATTAAGTTGGCACGCCGTGATATAGATGGACTAATATCCAAAGACACAACTCTATGTCGTTAAACTTTGTACACCTTAATATATATTTTAACACACCTAAAGTATCACGGAGGTGTTCTAGTTGTCCTGTTTTATCATATGAACACAACAACACGTATCTACATGAAACTTTTGGGGGCAGTGGGGTAGCCTAGTGGTTAAATCGTTCGCTCGGGTTCGATGTCCCACATGGGCACAATGTGTGAAGCCCATTTCTGGTGTCCCCAACCGTGATATTGCTGAAATGTTACTAAAAGCGGCGTAAAACTAAACTCACTAACGCACTTTCCACCTTGACGCTTGTGAAACAGACCATCCACAAGCTTTTTCAGTAAAGAATCAGATTAGAATATTAAGTCCGTTAAAAATAATCACTACCAATGCCCTTAAGCTATTCAGGACTATTCAACTGTCACATGGTGTTTGTATTCCTTTGGCAGCAGAGGCAGTGTTCGTGCGCATGTGAGGATATTTTTCGATGACATAAATTGCAAGCCCTTAAGGAGAAGAGAAGCGATCGAGAATGCATTCAAGGGGCCAATCAAATCAAAATTCCATCTCGTGGACAAGAGCCTGAAACGACATCGCCATTGCTAGTTCTACCCACGGAACCAATGTTAGATGTGGCGGACACAAAGAATGTGAATACTGAAGGTACAATCCCAACTGTTTTAAAAGATATCCCATACGATTTACATTGCAGCATATCTCGATAAATGTGTCTGATTCACATTCTGAAGTGAAGATAAAACGGGTTCACAGTATCATATTTGCTTCTCACATGCATGGGCCCGTAAGGAGTTGGGTTAGAATTGATCTTCAGGAGGCCTGCTTGTCGTAAGAGGAGACAAACGGGATCGGGTGGTCAGGCTCGCGGAATTGGTTGACACATAACAGTGAATGCCACTTACGTAGATCGAGACTCATGATTGTAATCACTGGGTTGTCTGCCCCAGACTCGATTATTGACAGTCCGCCGTCATGTAGCTGGAACACTGCTGAGAGTGGCGTTAAACAACAAATAAAATCCACCGTAATAAAAAATATGCAATGTATATACATTTTCCAGATGGCCAACAGGAGATTGTGCGAGCCTTTCACGATGAACGAATAAAAGACTGCTCAAATCTACTGAAGACAAGGATGGAGTTCCTGAAGGAGGTTGTACTGCCAAATGAAACCTGGTTGAGCGCCCATGACAAATACCATGGTGGGAACTTGTTGTATTGGTGTGCTTTATCTAACAGCATTAACAGTGTCAAGCATCTTCTCAACAGCAAGAGCATGACCTCAGATATACTACATGAGAGTCTGGCTTTCTGTGTCCTTACAGATAGAAGCGAAGCGGCTTGTTTGATCATTTTACAGCTCAAAGAGTCTGCGTTTAAACATGGGATTGATCTGGATTTTGTCCTGGCCAAGGCAGAACTGTTCTCATGCAAGCAGCTGACAATGGCCTTTATGATGTTGTAGATGCACTGCTGTTAGCTGGGGCCGATCCTAATATTCAGGGAATATTTTCACAGACTGCGTTACATCTGGCTTGTAGTCATGGCTATGGGAAGGTCGTAAGAATCTTACTAAAGTCTGAATACAATATTGACGTCAACATTAAAGAAGCCTTTGGATGGACTCCAATGATGGTTGCAGTCAACAGTGGTCACGAGGGCGTCTTCTTTTTACTGGTGAAGATCCATAAGCCGAATGAAAACGATCTTGACAAGTATAAAATGAACCTTCTACACCTCGCTTGTAAAGGAGGGAATCTGGCTATTGTCAAGAATCTTATAGACAAGCACCGGTTTCATGTAAATTCCTGGAGTGAGCAAGGCACCCCTTTGATGCTCGCAATGGGGCACAATAACATTGATTTGTGTCAGTTTCTTGTCGACAGTGGAGCTGTTGCATTTGAAGAAAATATGGATGGTGATTCCATTCTGCATATCGCTTGCCGCTGTGGGAGCCATGCTCTCATTGAAAGACTCTTGACGTTCACAGGACTTGCCATTGATGTCCAAGGTCAACACGGATGGACGCCATTAATGGTAGCAGCAGCAAATGGTAAGTACGAAGTGTTTCGGGTTCTCAAAGACCTTGGAGCCAAAGTTGAAAACCAGGTCGATCCTTCAAAGAACTCTCTGCTCCATCTCGCTTGTCAAGGAGGGAATGAAAGCATCGTGCGTTACTTGCTACCCCTGTATGGAGTACACATAAAGGGTGAGGAAGCGCGAACTCCACTGGAGACAGCCGAGCTGTACAAGCAATCTTCAATAGTGGAGCTTCTCAAGATGCAAGCGACATCAGGATGTGAAGACCGTCACAGTACTCCTGAGATCCTACCAGGTCATCGTAAACATAAACTGTCGTGATAATTTGAAATATATTTTGGTGGATATCTACTTGTGTCGACAGCCTGTTGATGTTCGGTGTAGACCACCTGTTGATACTTTGTATTGACCATATATTGATATTAGGCGAATCACCTCTGGATACTTTTCGTTGACCTCCTGTTGATATTTTGTATTGACCATATATTGATGTTAGGTGAACCACCTCTGGATAGTTTGTGTTGACCTGTTCATGGTCGGTGTTGATCACCTGTTGATACTTTGTATTGACCATATACTGATGTTAGGTGAACCACCTCTGGATAGTTTGTGTTGACCTGTTGATGGTCGGTGTTGATCACCTGTTGATACTTTGTATTAACCATATACTGATGTTAGGTGAACCACCTCTGGATAGTTTGTGTTGACCTGTTGATGGTCGGTGTTGATCACATGTTGATACTTTGTATTGACCATATACTGATGTTAGGTGAACCACCTCTGGATACTTTGTGTTGACCTGTTGGTGTTCGGTGTTGACCACCTATCGATGCTTTCTGTTGACTACGTGATGATTTCATTGACAGTATTCTCCACCTGAGAACATTATCGTGTCTTAATGGGTGGAGTGAGATGAGATTCACATTTTGTTTCCTCTGTATGGCTAAATTACGGTATCATAAATGACTCTGCTTTAAGGCAATGGCCGGATTTGTCAAATATGTTGTTGCTCAGGTATAATAGTGTTTTGTGCGATCACTCGATTCATTAGAGGTATGTAAAAACACACCTGTGCAAAGGAAACATTGGTCACCAATATGTTAATTTATGTCATTACTGCGATTATTTTAGTATACAGTGTTTGGCACTGGCTGTATTGACGTACAATATGTGATACTGAGATTGTGATACATACGATATGTGATATTGATGTTGTGATATATGTGATATGTGAATTGTAATAATAATAGTAATAGTCCACTTATATAGCGCCATTCCAGAATGAACATCTTGCTCAAAGCGCTAAGAAGGAAAAGGTGTGTTCAGGCAAATGCTTGACGGAACAAGTGAGTCTTGAGAGATGTTCGGAAAGAAGAATAGGTTGGAGAAGTTCGTAGTTCTTGAGGGAGAATGTATGTGATATAGCAGTTGTATGCTCCATGATGATGAAGATAGAAGGGCATCTTCCAGAGGCAGGCGCGAATAGCCTATACCCAAATCCACCTTCCTCCCAATCGGACATGTTAATAATCTTGTCAGAGAACATTTTACGAAATCAAATGTGGTTTGGTTTGGAACGTGTTTTGGCCACTGCCATCGTCAGCCGAATTTGCGTCGATGATAATCCAAATAATCCAAGTGGTGAACAGTTTAGTTATTAATCGACTTTTCTTACCGGACGTTTAAACATTCCGAGCAGCGATGACACGCTCCACCCACCCTCTCACCACACCCCGCATGAAATACGTCCCCTCAAGAAACGCATTGTTTGATCAATCGCGAACCCTCATATAAATTTCAGTACATCATACTGTCTGTTAGATTGTGCTGGCACATTCCAGTTATAACATAGTTGTTATCCATATATTTGTCAGTATTGTAATTCCCGGCTTGTAAAATGACACGCAAATGAATCATTTCTTAGTTACGCACACACGCGCCCCCATAAACAAACATATTAATATAGCAACCGCCACTTCTAATGGATTATGTGCTGCCCTCACTGATCCTGAACGTTGTCAACAGTGAAGCTACGTCTAGACTGTCAAGGTTGTTTACTGACACTGCACTTTGTATTCCTCGTGTGTCATCATGAGTCATGATCGCAGTCAGTACCCACGTAATGCATGAGACAGTACTATTATGCAATGACTAGTCCCCTTTGAACTTATAGTCCGTTTGGCTCAAAAGCGGACCGATGAATTGCAATCTAACTCGAAAACTAATAAACATAAAATACTCAATGAAACACTGATCATAATCAAAACGTCAGACCAACAAGGTGAGGTTTTTGCAGAATTTATGTCCTAAAAATAACAAAGTTGTTTAACAAACTATCATTAAAATATTGACACAGTTCACTATTTGTTACGAGGGAGGAGTGCAGAGAAAGGGACAGCCAGGTGTGCGAGAAAGGATGGAGACGGCACAGCACAGGTTAATGAATCAATAACTTTGTCGGCACTTGTGAACGTGCTTCTCTAACACCTGGCCGTCCTTTCTCTGAACTCCTCCCTCGTAAGAAATAGTGAACTGTGACAATATTTGAATTATTGTTTGTTAAACAACTTTTTTAATTTTAGGACATAAATTCTGCAAACAAATGACAGAGTTGGTCTGATGGTTTGATTAGGATCAGTGTTTCATTGAGTATTATATTTTATTAGTTTTCGAGTTAGATTGCAATTCATCGGTCCGCTTTTGAGCCAAACGGACTATAAATGTTAGAAAAGCTCAGTGTTAGTTGTAACACTGCTATACTGAGTCTCAGTAGGGCAGTGTAAGGAATAATACTGAGCCTTAGTTTACTTAGACTGCTTTGAAATAGAATTGTTGTTTGAGTGAGTGAGCGAATTTTAACAGAATTTCAGTCAAAATCAGGGAAATCCCAGTTGCTTCTGTTAGACATTTTCGTCTTCAGCATCTCATTGTGAACTACTTGAGAGATTGGTCTCTATCATAAATAGTAACCACATGTGTGTGGGACTTGGTTGACACATGTCATCGGTTCCCAATTGCGCAGATCGATGCTCATGCTGTTGATCACTGGATTGTCTGGTCCAGACTCGATTATTTGCAGACTGCCGCCATATAGCTGGAATATTGCTGCGTGCCCTCGTAAAACTAAATTCACTCACATAGTGTGTCACATATCTTTTTGTTATTAAATTGATGTTATGATATATGTGATATGTGAATTGTAATAATAATAGTAATAGTCCACTTATATAGCGCCATTCCAGAATGAACATCTTGCTCAAAGCGCTAAGAAGGAAAAGGTGTGTTCAGGCAAATGCTTGACGGAACAAGTGAGTCTTGAGAGATGTTCGGAAGAAGAATAGGTTGGAGAAGTTCGTAGTTCTTGAGGGAGAATGTATGTGATATAGCAGTTGTATGCTCCATGATGATGAAGATAGAAGGGCATCTTCCAGAGGCAGGCGCGAATAGCCTATACCCAAGTCCACCTTCCTCCCAATCGGACATGTTAATAATCTTGTCAGAGAACATTTTACGAAATCAAATGGGGTTTGGTTTGGAACGTGTTTTGGCCACTGCCATCGTCAGCCGAATTTGCGTCGATGATAATCCAAATAATCAAAGTGGTGAACAGTTTAGTTATTAAGACTTTTTTACAGGGACGTTTAAACATTCCGAGAAGCGATGACACGCTCCACCCACCCTCTCACCACACCCCGCATGAAATACGTCCCCTCAAGAAACGCATTGTTTGATCAATCGCGAACCCTTATATAAATTTCCAGTACATCATACTGTCTGTTAGATTGTGCTGGCACATTCCAGTTATAACATAGTTGTTATTCATATATTTGTCAGTATTGTACTTCCCGGCTTGTAAAATGACACGCAAATGAATCATTTCTTAGTTACGCACACACGCGCCCCATAAACAAACATATTAGTATAGAAACCGCCACTTCTAATGGATTATGTGCTTCCCTCACTGATCCTAAACGTTGTCAACAGTGAAGCTGCGTCTAGACTGTCAAGGTTATTTACCGACACTGCACTTTGTATTCCTCGTGTGTCATCATGAGTCATGATCACAGTCAGTAACCACATGCATGCATGAGACAGCAATATTATGCAATGAATAGTCCCCTTTGAAATCATTCTAAGTACCGAAGCTTCGACTCAGTGTTAGTTTTACACTGCTATACGGAGTCTCAGTAGGGCAGTGTAACGAATATTGACTACTAGACTACTTAGGACTACTTCGAGAAAGGGATGGAAATAGAATTGTTGCTTGAGTCGGAGTGAGCGTGGTTTTAAACAGAATTTCAGTTAAAATCAGGGAAATCCCAATTGCTTCTGTTAGACATGTTCGTCTTCAGCATCTCATTGTGAACTACTTGAGGAGAGATTGGTCTCTATCATAAATAGTAACCACGTGTGTGGGACTTGGTTGACACATGTCAGTTGTTACACTGCTATACCGAGTCTCAGTAGGGCAGTGTAACGAATAATACTGAGCCTAAGTTTACTTAGACTGCTTTGAAATAGAATTGTTGCTTGAGTGAGTGAGCGGGTTTTAAACAGAATTTCAGTCAAAATCAGGGAAATCCCAGTTGCTTCTGTTAGACATTTTCGTCTTCAGCATCTCATTGTGAACTACTTGAGAGATTGGTCTCTATCATAAATAGTAACCACATGTGTGTGGGACTTGGTTGACACATGTCATCGGTTCCCAATTGCGCAGATCGATGCTCATGCTGTTGATCACTGGATTGTCTGGTCCAGACTCGATTATTTGCAGACCGCCGCCATATAGCTGGAATATTGCTGCGTGCCCTCGTAAAACTAAACTCACTCACATATGTGTGTCACATATCTTTTTGTTATTAAATTGATGTTATGATGTTTTCTACTTGTAAATATTATTTTTAATGAAGAAATATGTATTTGAGAAGCCCCTTTACACCTTATACATTTACTTATAATGGACGTGTGTATCTGTACATACATGGTCTCGTTTGTGCTATATGGCCGAACTAATGACGAAGCGACGTAAAATTTTAACTCGCTTACTCACTTTAGTCAGTGACACCAACAAGACCTGCTTAGTTCTCACATAGCATCTTAATTAAGACTTACCTGTTCAACAGCAATAGATTGTAAATATGTTATACACATGTACCTATGAATTCTGTTAAGCACCCTGTGGTGTGGCGTTTAAGCGCAATATATGAATCCATATCATTATTATTATTACATAGCCTGCACCACAGTCGGGCGTAACGACTTACAGATCATATTCCAGTCCTTTTAATTGACCATTGTTACTGTCAGTTTATGCGTGATAT